AAAAACGGCTTAGTAAAAAGAGGCACCCATTTATTTAGAAAAATTCGATGCTTGGACAAAAACTGGAGTCTCCCCGATAATGCAGAAAAGAACCGAATTCTCAGCCAGAAATCTCGCGCTCACCTTATCTTCCCTTCTCGTGAGTCACGTAGAATTCGAGTGGCGACGCGGGGTTCACCATTTGGACTTGGTAAACGGCGCGCCCAGTAGAACTCGTACTGGAGCATCCAGCTGGCCGAAGATGAGGCGCAAATTGGATGGGTCGCCGTAAGAGCTTGAAGCTGTTCTCCTCGTCGTCCTCTTGTCCGTTGTCGCCGGAACCCATGAACACGGGATGTGCCGGAAGTTCATCGACGGCAAAGTAGTCTTCGGTGAGGCCGTGATGAGGGTGGTTCAGGGGCGACTGAAAAGTTGCGAATTTTTGGAAGGATGGTTCTCGTTTACTAGCCGACTTTTCAGGTACATCTTCGGTTTACCGATTTATTCTTGCTACTGGGCTGTTAGCGGGGGACTAATCTTTCTTTTCCTGTTTATACCTACCTGTTAATCACAAATAATGTATTTTAATGTTTTTATTAGAGTTTGTAATTGCTAGAAAGCTCTATAATTTTGAAAATCAGCAAACTTCGACCTCTTTGTTCATTTTTCATACATTTTCCGACAAATTCAAAAAAACTTATTGGTTTTCTGAGCTCTTTATTTCTGAAAACTGTGTAAAATGTTCCAAAAATTGCTTATATTTCTTATTGGACCGTACAGGATTGGTGGGAAAAACTAGTCCCCCCTGGTAAGAGTCCAGTTCGGATTTCAAGCACACATACCCCAAAATACTTGATGACAGGCTTCGGCGACTCTGGCGGCGGCTCTTCGACATGTTGCTCGGCCTTCTCGATTTCCGGCCATTTCCAGATGGGCTTGGCCGAGGCGGCGCGTGAGGTGGCGATTTGGGTCGAGTCGAGCGAGCTGGCGATTTCGGCAGGAATCGATGGTGTGTTCACATTGTAGGCGTCTGTATTGCTCATCGAGTCTAGAAACGGCACCAAATTTCGATTTAGAGATGATACTCACCGAGAACCACTTGCTCCATGCGACACAGCTCGTGTCGAGTTTCTTCGAGCTTCTTGAAGAAGGCCGCGTATTCGGCGGCGCCGGCCTTCAGCATTCGATTGCCGACGGACTGGAAGGCGCGCTTCAGCTGAAAAAAAGTGCCCGTTCCTATTCTCAAGAATTCTAGTACTGGACTGTTGGCAGGGGGGAGTTTTTAGTAGTTTTTGATCGCTAGAAAGTTAGCTAAGAAAGAAGAAAGAAAGCTAGATCTTGAAAATCCAATCCAGATTTAAACATTTGGAACGTTTTGTTTATAAGAGTTATTTATATCTTAAAAATTGTCTAGAATTTATAAAAATGGTTTATATTTTTTCGTTTTATTCGCCCCCCCCCCGCTAACAGTCCAGTACCCCAATTTCCTTACCTCTTCAACGAGGCCATCAGCCAGGAAAGTCATGTCAATCCACGTGGGGGCCGGGTGTTAATCGAATTGTGCTATTTTGGGTGACAAATCTGTTAATTTGCATTCATGCTCAATATTCAACGCTCCAGAAAATGTAAATTAGTTTTTTTAGGTTGACAAGGAGACGTTTTTTCGTGCCCGCGTGTGTTTCGAAGTGTGGCCAGGCCTATTTTGTGCAGAATTTGGCACAGAACCTATTTTCTGAATGTGCGAAACGACCACAAGAAGAAAGTTATGCGGCTTTAACGGGCGAGATACACCCAAAGTGGATTGTTTTGCGCATTTTTCACGCTTCAAAGCTGAGTAAGTTTGCAAATGTGGGCGTTTCACAATTCCTGAAAAGTAGGAAAAAATTCTGCACAGGATAGGCTTGGTGCTGTCTCCAAAGCCCGTGCGCACCCAAAAAACCTCTGCTTGTGAGTTTTGTGTTTGTCTTTTGTATATAGCATTTGTTCAAAATTTATTTTCGCTTTGAAGGAAAAGTGTGTCAAATAGGTAGACCCGTATGGTTGTTGTAGTTGGAGGGAGGGAGGGGTGTATCACAATTTTCCAAAATAGAAAGAGGTTATCAACGTGACAATGAGAATAAATAAATTGAGCGTGGGCGTGGTTGTGACATTACAATGATCGCCCTGGCACCAGCATGAGCTTTCGACGACCGACGAATCGGATAGGCACGGCACGGGTTTCTAAAGTTTTTTACTTGGGGCTGGTTCATTAACGGGGGGGGGGAGAGATTTTTCCCTATGACGTAGACGCCGAATAATGCCCTTTTAACTATTTTATTGACACGTTTCGGCTGCTAAAAACACTATAAAAATGGGTTATTTTGCGTTATCGAGGGGACTCAATTTTTTTCTTAGGATCCGAATTTTCAAATAAAAATAGCGGAAGTGTTTCCAACCGTTTTACTATTCTTGAACGTGAAAACCTTACAAAATCTCATTAAGAAATTCAAAATATCGATTTTCGACCAAAATATAGATTCCCATCTTTTACAAAAAAGGTACCCCCCGATAATGCGAATGAACCTAAAAATTTTCTATTTTTTGTTAGAATAAATAAATTTCGATGATTTGGCGGTAATAAGGCTCTTTTATGCGTTTTATCTACTATTGCTTACCTCGGAAAAGGTGCAAAAGCTGTGCGTCGGTTCTCGGGGTACATTCTGATTGTTGAGGTCGAACATTTGCCGGTAGCAACCGCGGAAGGTCATTGACGAAAACGTGCCTTGTCTTAATAAGTTTATTAATTTTAGATACCTACCGGAATTGTTGAGGGTTTGTGTCCATTTGAAGCAATAGCCATCACAATTCACCGTGGCGCGCTCCTAGAATCGTTTTTTATAGTAAGCAGTAAGTGGAAAAAGTGAGTTACAGATAAATTCGTCTAGTAGTATGGTTTTTCTCGTTAATTTCGCCGCGGTATCACTTTTCTACAGTAAACAAATTATTTTTTTAAGGAGGTTAGATCGATTTTGTAAATTTTTGGGCTCGAAAATAGCTAAAAACTTTTATAATCAAGGAACGATTTCTATTAAAAAATAGCTAAACGCCATCGAGAAGCGCATTTTTTTGCTTAGTTTCGGCACGTATGCTTTCTTGGAACGTCGGTTCTTTCGCATTATCGTGGGGGCAAGTAATTTTTTTATATAATTCTAGAAGTGCCTAGTAACTTAATAACAAGGTTTGATAGTGTTTTTCGTAAAATATAATGAGATTTCAACCAGAAAAAGTATTTACAAAATATCAAAAAAATTTCAAAATAAAGCGGCCATTTTTGAGCAATAAATCGATTTTTTTATAAATCGTTTTAATTAAAAATTGTAAAGTAAGTAGGATTAAATAACAGTTTTGCCCCCCCCCGATAATACGAAAGAACCGGAACTTTAGTAATAAAATATACCTTGAGAATCCACGTATCCCCACCGCAGTACGAGTCGTAGATGCGCGGCTCGGCGATTTTTGGGCCGGGACCGCGTTCGGTTGTGAGAAAATTCTAAAAAAATCGTATTTTTCGATTTGCCCTAGCTGTAAGTTGGTAATTAAAGTGATTTTTAGGACCTAACTAACGACTAAACTTTCGAAATTTGGTTTTTGTTCAAAAATATTGAGAAATGACCCGAAAAAGGTCAAAAAAATTAAATTTTCATTTTTCAAATGGTTTTTTTTGGTAATCAAAAACTGCGAAAAACATTATGAAACGCTGAAACATTTTCTAGATAACCTACATTTTTCAAATTCGGCGTCGCACAGCTGTAGCATTTGCCTGAAAGTAGGGCGCGGCGTAGGTATAAATTATTAACGGGCTTACTCTGCATAGTTTGAGCCTCGGTTTGGTCGAAAAGGAGCAGGAAGGCGGGGAGGAGCACCAGCATTTTGCGATTCCTATAATGGATTGGTTTTCAGAAAGAGCGAGCATGAGGAAGCTGGGGCTCTTTTAAGGTATCGTCGTGCTTTGATCGGCCAAAACAGCAGTTGTGCACGGAAATTTGAGACGTTTTGAAATTATATCTGGCTTCATGGTTCAGAGTATCGCCGGGGAATGGCTGTTTTTTGATGCTCACAAAGATGTGAAGGGGTAGGCTAGCAGAGAACATTTGGGAAATCGAGTTTGGCAGAGTGCCCAAAAAAAACGCGAAGATGCAATTCGGGGCTAGCTTCTCGCTAATTTAAATTCTTTGAACGATTTAAATTGTTAATTCCTGGATATTTTAAAAAAGCAGTTTTTTATTTATTTGCTACTTTAAAATGTTTTGATTTATTTCAACTTTCTGGAGATTAGGAACGAGCAGAAGATTCCCTGCGGAAACGGATTCTTTCGATTTTTTTCGATAACGAGCAGCGATTCTGTAGGATTTTACGGGAATCGGGCAATTCGACTGAAGGTATCGTGCAGTGATTTTCTGTGGAATTTTTTCGTGTGTTGATGCTAACGTGCAGAAATTATTTGCGGAATAGAACGTTTTAGGATGGAATAATTTGTAACAGAAATTAAGTAAAAACAATTTATGCAGCTTTCTGGGCCGCTTTTAAATATAGAAAGTACAAAAATAGACTCCGAGACGCAAAAAAAGATAACTTTTCTGCCCCCGCTAATAACTTAGTACCAAGATTTGCGGCAGGATTGTGCGTGTGCGTAGCGTCGATAGGTGTATGGGGGAATAGGTTCGTAAGCAGGTAGTGGTTGTGAGTGGGGTGAGGGATATCTGATATCCGTTCCGGGGGCGGTTTCTCGATCAATGGACGGGCAAATAGCCTAGGCAAATATCGTACGCAACCTCTGGCTTCTCCTTCTACACCACCACTATCGAATACCACCATCAAACTTCTTAAGGTAATGTTAGAGAGCGAGAGCGAGATGGAGAGAGAGAGAGAGAGAGAGAGAGAGAGCGGGAGAGAGAGAGCGAGAGCGAAAGATGGAGATGCATTTTGTGGCCGTACGGGATTACTGGGAAAAACATAACACCCTGCTAACGGTCAGTACCGATTTCCTTGCCCCGTTATTCGATGAGTACCAGTGAAACAGAGATGTATATCGCCAAAATTAGCTAAAATAAACAAAAATTTTAAATTCCGCCTCCTTCCGGCTTGAAGTACCCGTTTGACACGGTTGGGTAGCTTTTGGTAAGGGTGAGGTGAGGGGGGAAGTGAGGTAGCGCGGGCCAGCAAAGCCAATGGGAGAGACGGGAACCCGAAATCGCAAATCCTCGTGCAAATATTGGGCCAAATATTTTGGGTGTGGTGGGGGAGGGGCCCGGGGCTGCTGTCTCTCTCTCTCGCTCTCTCTCTCTCTCTCTCTCCGGGTATTGTGTCCACTACTTTCCTATTCACCATTCGGCCACTTGATCCGAATAGGGGGTATATATTGGAAACGAGGGGGCAACGAGGGTATCTACTCGAATATCTGCGAGGGTAAAGCGAGTAAATATCAAAGATACCTGAAAGGCATTAAATGTAAAGGTCAGTGGCCCTAAGAGCTCTCTAAAATGCCGTCTAACAGACACTTGATCAAAAAAGAAGCCCGTTTCTTGGCACAGCAGCATGAGAGCTTTTGCAGATTTGGTACATTATGATTTTAGGAAGGAAGGATTTTATGATTTGCAAATTTTAGCGCAAAGCCCCTTAAAATGCGAATAACTTTGTAAAGTTGACTATGAGAATTCTGAAGATTCGGAAGCTAAATTCAGACGAAAATTCTGCAGAATATGGACTTGGTCTATCCCGAGTTTCCAGTATGCGTATTTCCAGTCCTCAACTTTGGAATTTGCTTTTTTCACGATTCGTTTTGTTTTTTAGTTTTTTTTTTCGTAAAAACGTGAACAAATAAAACACAAAATTCCGTCCTTTATCGGTTTTACGGAGTTGTATTCATTACGCTTCCCCGTCTATCGGAGCGTTGCGTAGCCATACACGACAACTCGATTTTTAATTTTTGATTCTCCTTTTATTTTTTATTCTCATATTGTATTTTTGGTTTGGAAAACTATGACTGAAAGTTTATATATTTATATCTAAAAAAGTAGAGTTCTTTTTCTGTTTTTTTCGTTCTATCTCCGAAACTAAATTTTCAAGCGTTTTCAGCACAGGTTTTTGCTTTATTTTGCTTAGATATAGGTTCTAGCGGTTCTAACTTCCTTTTTTCAGTTTCGTGACGTTTCCTCCACAATAATATACCCTTTTTACAGGAAAATGCTGGCCGGTCGTCGGATGTGCGGGGCATTGGCTCGTCGATTCGTCTCGGCCTCCGCCACCTCAACCGAGCCCACACTTCCCCTCTCGAATGGACCATCATCCGCTCTACCCCATCAATCGGAACGGGACATTTCGGCGAAGGTCGGCGCGCTCGTCGAAGACATTGCCCAGTTGACGGTAATCGAGGTGGCCGATCTGAATTGGGCACTCAAGAAGCGTCTCAATCTACCCGATGTACCGATGGGTGGTATGCAGGTAGCGTTTTAGCATTAATTTTGGTTTTTGAAAGTTGTTAGAGAGTACTACGGTTTTATTGGTGGATGTTTTTGGTGGTTTCTCGGTTCATTTAAGAATTTCCAAAAAGGTTGTTTTGAGTTTCACAGTTTTGCAAACTTATTCTTAGTCTAAAAGGCGGTAGGACGCTATTAAAAGAGCTGGAAGGTTTAATTATGGTTTTTTGGGCCAGAAAAAGCGAGTTTTAGACTTTTAGAGCGTTGCCGAGGTTTTATTCAAAGTAATTAATCCGTCATGTTCGGTGGAAAAAATCCTTTCCAACCTTGTTTTTGTTCATTACCTCTAGGCCCGTATCCCTTTTTGAGAGTTGTTACCGGGGAAAGGGGGCTTCCGAGGCTAAATGTCTGAAAATTATTTGTATTTTTAAAATGTCGCTTTTCAGGCTTTCGCCATGCCAGCCGCGAGCACCCCAGCCGCCGCCGAAGAGACGGCCGCCTCGGACGCGCCGCAGAAGATGACGTTCGCCGTCAAGCTGACCAAGTTCAACGACGCACAAAAGATTGCGCTCATCAAGGAGATTCGCACGATTGTTCCAGGTAGAATATTGCTGTCTTTGGGCTAAAATTTGGCGTTTTTGCATCCTCGGCTGGGAAGCAGATTTTTTTTCGATAGAACCGTGGCTAGGAAAAAAGCAAAAACGTTTTCGTCGAGATTCTAGTACCAATTTAGCTGTGTTAGGAGCCAAATCTTGTCAAAAAATCGGTTTGCAAGTTTCGGAATTTCTAATTTCGTTCTAAACCGGTATTTTATCGTTTCACACACAAATTTGGCGTGTTTTCTATGTCTCAAAATTGTGGAAAAGAATAGATAAATTACCTAGAAAGCGCTCAAAAAAGGGTATTGTTTCCGCCGCCGATAATGCAAAGATGCTAAAATTTTGCCGGAAAAGTGAAAATTGCCGTTTTTTGGTTTTTTAAAGAATATAGCAACTCGTATTTCGGATGCTAGTTGTTTTTAATCTAGAACATTCCTTTTTTTCAGGGCTGAACCTCGTGCAGGCGAAGAAATTCGTGGAGACGGCCCCGGTGACGGTGAAAGAAGATATGGGCAAAGCGGAAGCCGACGAGCTGAAGGCCGCCCTCGAGAAGGTCGGCGCGACGTGCGAGATCGCCTAGAGGAGACGCAGAAGCACGGAGATGAACAACCCGATCGTTTTCGCTTTAATCGATTCAATTGCCGCCGTCTTGCCCCGTTTTTTATTGTTAACCATCGATAGAATTGCTCATTTTCTTGCTTTATAGATATTTATTCCTGCGCTTAAATTAGTTTTGTTGAATTTTGTTGTCGTTCCATGGGTTTGTGATCAGTCGAAATAAAAAGCTTAATCCTTTTTCATGTAGATTATCGGTTTTCGAGCGATCTTTCCGCAAACGGACTCTGCTAACTCGGCGGTGGCAGCTCCGAGCGTTCGTTGTAAAGGACCTTTGCTAGCCCGCCCCGGGTTATGAAGTTGTTTTATGCTTTTCAACGCGTTTCTCACAATCCAGTTGGATTTGGCAAAAAGCTGCTATACCACCTTGTTTTCTCAAAGATCCTCTGCAGGATGCCCAGAAAAACATGGAAATATCATTTATTCACTGCAAAACGCAAAGGAAACAAAAAATCCGTAGTCCCGTGCAAATTCGATCGCCGAAAATACTGTAGGGGTAATGTGAGCAAGCAACACAAAATTTCAAATTATTTAAAGGGACCTGGAAGGCAAAAATCCAGTATAATTTGCCTTGTAATTCCCTTTAAACACCAAAAAGACTAAAATATCGAAAATGGATGAAAGCCATGGATATGAGTGAAAGACAAAGGTATAATGACGCGAAATATGCAAGCCTGAATGAGCGTCATCAGTAAAATACGTACAAATTTAGAAATCGTTAAAATTCGTAATTTGAGAACCAAAGAAGCGTGGACCCGTTTGCGGCGAGCTGGTAAGAAAGTAAGAAGCAAAAAAATACAATAATATCGTATACAGTATACCAGAGTATACGTTTCAGACACTCCGCCTCAAATGGTTTGAGCGTGAGAAATGGGGAGCAAGGGGATGATCATCATCGTCAGCGTGTTCAGGGCTCGAGGGTCGTCGCTCTTCCACGGGTGGTGCTCTGGAAAGGTATACAGGGTGTCCCAGAAAAAAAGCACCCCTCCGGCATTTCGCCATATTACATCCGATCCGTCCCAAATTTGGACCAGAGGTGTATTGGACCCTAAATAACCACAATCCTGAGTTATAGCCCGCCAGCTACAATTGTTTTCGAGATACAGCAAAATTAAACTTTATTAGCCGTTTTTCATAAGGTTTTCGTCGGAATCGACCCTTCGAATATTAAGTGAAAATGATGCGGCAAGCGTTCTTTTACCCTTAGAAATTTTTTCCTGATAACAATTCATCAAACAACCGTTGATTTCAACAATTTTTTTACCCAAAAATCACCCCCGATATTAAGCGAAATTAGGGATTCGCAGCCGGAAGTCGATGCAAATCGATGCAAAGTCCAAAAAGATAGCCGAAAAACTGTTAAGAATAGCGTAAAAAAATAGGATTTTGGCAATAACTTGAAAACTACTGTAGCGATCCGGCTATAACTCAGGATTGTTGTTATTTAGGGTCTGATACACCCTTGTGCAAAGTATGGGACCGATTGGATGTAAGGCGGCGAAATGCCGGAGGGGTGCTTTTTTTGGGACACCCTGTATTTTATTTCCTTTCTTAGGTACTGTGCCATTATCGAGGGGGTATGAATTTTTTCTATAATGCCTCGTCACTAAATAGGTTTTTAAATGGTGTAGCTTTCTTAGCAAAATTCAGACATACGAGGCAAAAAACCATCTACAAAGCTTAGATCCTATCGAAAATTTTTTTGGTGAGAATTCTACATACACTAACCAATTTGGCAAAATAACGAACAGCGATTCTTTGTGAAACTTTGATTTTTTTAACGCAGTATGGGATGGTAAAATCGCGCGACAAAAAAATCCAAAATTTCGAAGCAAAGATGAGTTTAAGCGAAATTCATAACGAAATCGGTTGCCCAGATGGCTAATTTAATCTGGTTCGCCGCTATCAAATTCTATTTTTGCCGCGTAAACGGTTTTTATCCCCCAGGGTCACCGCTAGTGCGCTCTCCTAGTTCCCAGAGAAACTCTGCTGGTTTGCCCATGGTTTTCGCAACGGATCACTGCTAGCCTGCCCCGTTCCGAAACAATCTCTGCTCGTTCTGGATCAAAAAGTTGTTGCTCACCTGGAAGATGAGCCAGCCGTTGTGGTTGGTCTTTCATCATTAGCGCCTCTCTCATACATTGTAATTGGTCGAGTCGGTCGTTGTCGATCCTGTCTTCCCAGGTGTCTAAAGGATTTTTAGTTTTTAGTTTAGTTTAGTTGTAGTTTAGTTTTCAAGTATTTTCGTTCTGTATTCGGTTTCGAAAAATCAATGTTTTTTCGAAAGTCATTTTTCCGAAAAACGCGTTTCCGACAAGATTGCCAGCCAAAATACCGACGATCGAAATACCGACAGCCAAAATCCCGACGTATTCTTGACGCTAGTTTTAAATCCTTTAAAATCTTGACTTCCTTTTGGCATCTTGAATGTCGGGATTTTGCTTGTCGGCATCATAGCTGTCGGTATTTTATCTTTCAAAGATCGTAATTTCCAAAATTTGCAGTCAACAGCGTGTCGCCAAAGCTCAAAAGGAGTTATAAATCGGAATTTTTGTTTTCGAAAATCTGATTTTTCGATATTCATATTATTCGATATTTAGCTACTTTACACAAATAATTTTAATCTTCCAAAAAATGATCGCCCGCCTGTCTATAGTATTTAGATGTACACTACACTCCTATAGACACCCCTACCTGAGCGGCGCCAATTTCGTTGCATCTTCATAACTCGGCAATGGGGGCAGGGCCGAGTCGCGGGTACGGTACGCTAAAAAATAATGTGTTTTTTTTGCTGAAAACAGGTGTAATATCCGGGGGTTCAGGCCAATGTGTGAATTTTGAGCTATCGCCTTGCCGGCACGCATTAATAGATATTCCTAAGTTTTTGCAATGGACTTATTTGAAACATTCTTAAATTTACTTCACGAAATATTCGCTTTTTAAAGGGCCAGTGAAGGCAAAATCAATACCTCTGGTTTGTGTGGAATACGGTGGGGGCCCTTCGATGCCCATCGCTACGAAATGCATCGTGGATAGGGGCTCGCTGGAGCCTGGAAACGGAATAAATGATCTTTGCTAGCATGTGCCATTTTTCCAAAGGAATTTTTGCTAGCTAGCCTTGTCAAATTTTTTTGAAAGAACCTCTGCTAGCTTGCCCTTCTTTTCCTCGAATTTTATCTGCTAGCTTGCCATCCTTTTTTGGCAGATTTTCACCGGAACCTACCCTTCGTTTCCTCCAAAAATCTCTGCTAGTCTGCCTTCCCAAGTCCTCTTTGCTAGCTGACCCCTACTAGTTTTCCCAAAAAAAATGATAGTCTGCTTTGTCATGCTTCGAATTTCTCAAAAATCGTTGCTAGCCTGCCCACCTCGTTTCCCAAATTTCTCCGCTAGCCTGCCTACATTTCTCTCAAGTTCCTCAATAATCCCTGCCACCCCACCCACCTGGTTGTCCCTCATTCTGCCCGCTCCGCGGCCCAAAAATCGACCCGAGTGCGTCGCGACGTTCCCGGGACGATTGTTGCTGGTACTACAAATTTACCAAAATTTAAATAATTTACAATTATTATTCTAAATGTATTTTTAAAGTCCTGTGATTTAATCTTGTGTGTGTATACCGAGGAATGAAAGCGATTGAAGGGTATCTTCTATTTTTCTCCACTTTTATTGACGAAACACAGTTTTGAAAAACGGCAATTTTATTTTTGAACGTTTTTGACGGAATTTAGGGAATTAAAGGGCGCGGCAAGGGTTTCAGGTTCTTTTCCGTTATCGGGGGATTATTTTTTTATCAGACAATAAATTCATAGTAACGCCAAATTATTTTTTAGTCTTATTTAAAAATACCAGATTTAAAGTGGAAAAACGATCTAAAACCGTAGGAAATTTGGTCAAAGCCGCCGCCGATAATGGCAAAGCTCTTGGGGATTCATATCGCCTTGCCTTGCCGGGCTCTTTAAAAAGCAAACAACGAAAGAGTCACCTAGCAAGGAACAACAAAACTGTGACGGGAAAAGTCAAAAAGTAAAAACCGAAAAGCGAAAAACAAACACAAAAAAGCGGAATTGTTACCCAGCCACGCGCCCAAACAGGAGCAAAAGATCATGCGGCGCGGTCGCGTTGCGGCCGCATCTGGCAATTGCCAGGAAACCCAGCAGGCCCCCCTGGACCAAATTTCGGACCCCTTTAAATGGTTTGCATGTTTGTGGAAAACCTAAGAAAGTATTAAAGGAGGAATCTTTACGATGAGATTATAGGCGACTATAATGGTCGAAGGACAATTTCCCTTGAAACTTATATTTCAAATTAGAATCGTTATATCTGGTGCTCACTTTTGATTTATTTATATTTGTATGCATTTATTTTTTTTATATATTTAACTTTAAAGGGGCTGGAAAATGCTGAACATTTGGTTAAAAAACGTAGGAATCTTTCAAAAAAAGCGTCGGTCAAGAAATTAAAGTCTAACTGGGGCCATAAATAGCATTTATGCCTGAAAATCTTTTGTTTTGATAGGCCATGCGTGATCCACGGTATCTGCTTTAAATTATCTTATACTTCATTTAAATGTGTTTTTTTCAGGAAAAGAGAATTTCGCAAAATCCAAGAAATCCCGCCGTGCTGTTCCAAATGAGTAATTAGAGGCTACGGCCCTCACAAAATTATTTTTTTACTTGAAACTTTTGTTGTAACAATCCAATCGTTTTAACCGGTATCTACAGTCAATTTATTTGAATTGAATTTTGAATTTTAAAAAATGGGGACAATTGAAAATTCCGCCAAAATTGCCACATCTGCAACGCTACTGCACCCTCAAAATCACATTCATTTTTGAAACTTTTTGTTTTCAAATCCTGATCGCTATATCGTTAACTGCATGAATTTTCTGAAGTATTTTAATTTTACATTTAATTAATTAAAAATAAACTTGAAAAAAATACAAATTTTTATCAATTATATTCATAGTTAAATTTAAATTTAAAGAAACTGGGAAGCGCTGAAAAACATATGGACGAAAAACTAAAACTATACTGAAGTCTCAGAATCCCAATTTTTCTTGAAACTTGATTTTGATAAGATCTTCACTTTTAGGCGGGAAATACGGTACCTGTGCGTGCATTCGGTGTTTCATCAATAAATACATTGAAACGATTAGTACAATGATCATCACCATGCTGAACACGGTGCCCGAGATGTCACGCGAGAACAGCTCGCCGTCGTGCTGAAAAAAATAAATGTTGGGGTTACTGTAGCTCTAAAATATTCTAATTTTTGAGGGGTAGAAAATTTTGGTTCAAATTCTCACAGTTTAACGAGATAACAAAGTACCAAAAATTGCCAAATTACGGTTGTTTTCGAAAATCGATGTTTTTGTGTGTACTGTACTTTCGGTTTTCAGATTTTTCAGATTACGGGAGCGTAAAGAGTAAGGTAATCGTGATTTTTCAGATATATTTTGTTAATATCCTGTCCTTTCAAAAAAATACGATATTTTGAAAGGGTACGGTACTTTACAACGTACTGTAAGTCCGGAAAATTTTCCAAATTCCCAAAAAAATCGCCAAAGTGCGCTAAGGTGAAATTATCTGAATTTCCACAGTAATACGGTACTTTTTAAATTAAGGTTTTTCAAGTTACGGTAATTTCGTAATTACGAAATTTGTAAGTTAGATTTTAAGGAATTTTAGCTTTGTTTTAACTTAAAAATTCTGATTTTCACGAAAACCCGGGCGTCCGCGTAGCTCCAAATTCCGTTACCTGAGCATCCCCAAACCGTCCATATCGATTGCCATGCGTCGTCCGGTTTGCGTCAATTTCGCAGTGATATCCGAGGAATGAGGGCGGGCATTGGCATCTATTAACGATTTCGATTATTTTAAATTTATATTTTTCATTAAAAACGAAAATTAAAACCGATCTTCGGCGCATAATTTAATAATTTCTTGAATAAAAATAAATGAATTAATTTAATTTCTTGAATAAACACCATTTTTACAATCTTTCAGCTGATGAAAAGTGCACTTCCCGAAACTAATGAGACAATTAAAAGACTGGATTTGAAAATTTATGAAACACATTTTTCTAGCTTCATAACTGACTGAAACAAATTGAAATCTATTAACTATTTTTTAAATCTATATTTTTGACGAAAAGCGATAACTAGAAGCGATCTACGATGCAATATTTATTTTAATAATTTCTTGAATAAACACCATTTTTGCAATCGTTCAGTTGAAGCAAACACGACATGTAATTAATAAGCCAATTAAAAGTTAATATTTAAAAATGTATGAAACCCGTGTTCCTGTGCTTAAAAGTGGGGCTGTGTAACCCCCTTGGGGAGGGGGTCAACAGATGGGGGGAAAGAGGGCGCCCGGGAGAGGCGCAGAGTTTTCTTCCCGCGGTATCGATTGACTTATGCCCCCCTACCTTTAAAATTGACTAAAAAACCCCTAATTGCAGGGATATGCAAGGAACGTGTGAGCTTCTATCGACAAAAGCGCAAGCATATCGAGGAATACAACGAGATTGAGGCACTGCAACGAGCACAAGGGTTTTGGCCACTAGAAATAACGAAACACGCTTTTGAAAAACCGCGGGTTTTAATAAAAACGTCTAAAAAAGTGGTTTTTAAGCTTTGGTTTTCTATTAATACGAGTTTTAGAAATTAAAGTTAAAAAACTACAGGTGCATTAAAGTTACGCAAAAGTGAAATTTATTAAAGATGCTTTAGTGGTTTAAGGCTTTGTAATATGTACACAAAAATGCATACTTTCTATCCGTCTCGACGCCTCCATTAAGACACAACATCTCTCGGCATTCTTCGCCCTGGTAGAACGGTACGCACGAGCAGTACTCACGCCCGTCCATGCCTAAAAATCTTGGATTTATGCTTTTTTGCACAATCCCATTTCAAATTATCTTAAAAACCAAAAAACAAAAAGTTTTGCCGCGGCCGGGTGTCGAACCTGGGCACTAAAACTGACAGATCAGCACCTTACCAATCAGCCAATCCGTTCACTTTTGATTAAATTATATAAAAAATTGTCGTAAAATTAAATGGAAAAATTTTGTCACGGGTGAGTTTAGAACCTGGACCTTTCGAACAATAAAATTTGGTTTAAAAAATTGACTTAAAATTGGCCTAAAACCAAAAATCAAAAAATCCGCCTTGGCCGGGTGTCGAACCCGGACCTTGCGGTTGGCAACCCGACCTTGAACCACTCGACCACCGGACCCACCTTTCAATTTCTGGCCCTGATCGCAAATCTTTTCGCAATTCTCGCCAAAATACGGATCGGGACAGACGCATTTTCCGCCATACGACAGTGAACGACGACCACCATGAAGACAGGGGGGCAGGGGACGGCAATGTGCATCTACTGCCGACGAATCCGCTGGAAAAAAATGATGTTTTAAGATATGCCACGATACGGTAATTCGAAAAGTACCGTAATCCGGGCTAGTGAGTAGTAACGTCATTACCTCCGTCATTTGAAGGCTACCACCGTACCCCAGAAAATTCGTTAATTTGCGCTACAATAGTTACGAAAGACGTAATCAGGAAAGTAGCGTAACCCGGGAAACTGTAATTTGACAGCTAATGTAATATTTCGGCTACAGTAATCCTCGCTCTCCCCCATGACGTAAACCGGAAGGTCGCGTACTTTGTTACCGTCATTTGCAAATACTGTAACTTGTTATTTTCAATTAAATTGACCGTAAGTTTTGAAATTTAGCTTCAGTAATCCGAAATTACGTCATTAGTACTTACCGTAGCCCGGAAAACTGTACGTTGAAGGGCTCAAATTGGGAAAATACGTTAATCGTAAACAGGAGTGTCCTGTATACTGGGGGCAAATTACGAGATTCAGGAGATACTTTAAAATCGCAAAATTTTGTGGATTAACGTAATTCCGTAACGCCAAATTCCGTCATTTGGATGCTGACGGACCCTAGATAATCTGTAACTATAGCAGGAATAACTACGCGATTTTCCAAAGTAATTTGCAATTGGCCGTATTTTCCGCGTTACGGTTTTTCTAATGTCCAGCTTCCATGTCGGTCTACTATTTTATTTGCCATTTTCCAGGTAAGGGTAGTCTATAAAACATATTTTTGAAAAGATTTTGGAAAACCTATAAAAATGACGGTATTTTTAATACAATGATAATGACGTGAATCTACTCTTGACACATACCTTGAGAACATTTGCACCGTACCCCATAGCCGGTATACGAATTGAGGTTGAAGAGGGCATAGGCGGCCAGCAGGAATTCGCCCTCGTACACACGACAACTCTGAACGGAGAGGGTTAGAGAGAGAGAGCGAAGGAGAGAGAGAGATGGAGGGAGAGACAGAGAGAGGGTGAGAGAGAGCGAGAGAGAGTGAGAGAGATAGAAGGCGAAAGAGAGCCGAGACCTCATGCAACCGATAAAATTCACCAACAATTTCCTGTTTGAATAAAGTTGTTTCACTTTCTGGGGACGATCAAAAATTTTTAGGATCATTAATTTAAGCTCGATTACGTCATTAAAAAGCCGAACCTCAGCCGGTTGTGCCCCGCTCTCATCAATCGCATAATCGGAGGCGGTCTGCGTCCAATTGGTGATTAGCTGAAACACAACGATTTGACAGATTCCACAAAGGATCTCTGCCAGCCTGCCAGGCAAAAATACCTTTTTTAGTACTTTGATTTTCAGATGATTTTTTAGCGTATCGTAGCTATACAATTAAAATTAGCTGCTTAAAAAATCTTGATTTTCAACCCTCTATTTTCCGCAAAGATCCTCTGCTAGCCCGCCCATCAAAAAAGGCCAAAACAGAAATAATTGTTAGCAAATGATCCAGATTTTCTGATGTTATAACGCTAGAAGAATCAATAAAAGACGAATTCGCAGTTATCCGCAAAAACCTCTGCTAGTTGGCCTCACCTCAATATTCTCAGGTTGTGGCACTCCCCCACGACAACACGTCACTTTGTAGCTACGCGGAAGCCAGAGAGGACCGTGGAAATCGACGCCCGGGATTGGGCTCGATGAACGGGGCTTTGATGTCGTCGTCGTTATCGCATCCAGCTTAATTATTCATATTCTCCAGCCTGCGAGCGCTGCATTTTGGTATACTTTAAAGTAACTTGGCTTCAAACCAAGCCATGGTAGTGCATCGAAAATTACGGTAGTCTTGATTTTACGATTATAAAACATGGAAACATAAAACATAAAAATTAAAAAAATAGAGCCATTCAACGCAGCTGAGAATTAAGGAATTCATAAAAGCTATTGGCAACAAATTTTTTCGAAACATTCTCAAATTTAAATTTAAGTGCGTTTTCTTATTTCGTGATTATCCATATTTTAAGGATAATCTCTCTCTCTCGCTTTCTCTCTCTCTCTCTCTCTCTCTCTCTCTCTCTCCCTCACCTTTTGCCCAACAATCGCATCAAATCTTTGGCCATCTCCTTGAGCTGGTGAATCGAAAAGGGGCACAACTTGGAAAACCCCGGTCGGCAGTTGAGAGCGGGTCACTAAAAACTCAATATTTTCGGCTTTAAAGGAACCGTGAAATCAAGAATCTACCCCTGCTTGTGACTAGGTCTCGAGAGTTATGGATTTCTATACCAAATCGCTGCAAAGACGGCTTTAAGGGAACTGGCAGGGCAAATATATAGCTTTTTTGGTTTTGGAATTGCTACGGTTTTTTCGATAGGCCTCAATATTTACGCGGTTTTACAGCCGTCAATAGATAAATGTCGTAATCGATTACGCCATAGAATTCAGAGACACGCGTTTCGAATTGTTGGGAAAATACGGGAAAATCTATGGCTAATTTATGTCAAAGCTACCGAAAGCTACGGTTTGATTTTTACTTAGAACGGGCTTAGGTCTGTAACGTAAGTGTCGAGACCTAGTCAATTTTAGGGATCGATTTTGGGGCTTTCCTGCACCTTTAAAATAAGCTCAAAACTCACCGGCTTGATTTCCATTCAAAGCTAGCAGCAGGGCGAACAACAGACGTCTCATGTCAATTCCCGGCCTCGTCGTCGCATAGGCACTAAAATCAGCGATAATTTTTGCTTAATAAAAATGTATGTAATACAGAAATAAAATAATATAAAATAAACAAATAAATAAATGGGGAATACAAATGAATTTTCCGTAAAAAGAAATGTTCGGAGGAAATAAGGTAAAAATTCCTTTAGAGAGCTCACGATTTGGACAGTGCGCCAGTCGCAATAATTCCGCAGTAACAAATAAAAGTAAAAAATAAATTGACCTTACAAAAGAATTTAGGCAAAAATAAATGTTTTCGGGCGGAGAACCAGCCAAAAAATTAGCGGAACTATCTATTGTAGAGAAGGACCGGAATTTATACAGACTTCTACGGCGGAAGATAGTTTAAAGGGGCCCAGAAGTCGAAATTCGTGCGTGCGGGGATTGAACCTACGGCTCAAAAAACGAAAGGGTCACTGCCGAGAAGTCTTAAAAAAGTGATTTGATTGCGAAAAAAAGTCGAATGTTTGAGAAAAACCGAATTCTTTTTGGCGCGAAAACGACATTTTGGGTGCGCGGCGATTACATGTCGTAATGCCTTGTAAGGCACCCAATCTCTCGACCTCGGCGATTCTCTGGCCAATTTTCATAATTTAAAAGCTTGCAATGATCAAAATTCGGTGAGGATTCCAAAAATAGTATCAGAATTTTTAAATTCAAGCTTTTTTTGCGTCCAAACAGGAGCAAAAGATCATGCGGCGCGGTCGCGTTGCGGCCGCATCTGGCTATTTGCCAGGAATCACAGCAGGGGGGCCGTGGACCAGATTTCGGAACCCCTTTAAAGGGACGTACAAGGCAACATTCTTTAGGCGATATTCTTGGTAGTTCTAAGCCGAGCCCAAATCAAGTCTAAGCCAAGCCTAAGCTAGGCTAAGCCCAAGCCTAAGCCTGAGCGAAAGCCTAAGCATATGCCTAAGCCTGAGGCCAAGCCTAAGCCAAGCCTAAGCCAAACCTAAGCCTGAGCCTAAGCCAAACCTAAGCTAAGTCTAGGCCTAACTCTAAGCATAACCCTAAGCCTAAGCTAAGCTAAGCCTAAGTCTTAGCTAATCTAAGCTTAAGCCTAAGCCCAGACATACGCTTCAATGTTTCGCAAAAAATGGGACCAGGTGCCTCGTGGGTTTTATTAATAACAGCTCATCAAATGAATCATTAAAGAGAGTTTTGTTTAGGCTCTCCATGAAAATACCGTACCTTAAGCTAGATTAAAATGAATTCAGCATGATGGAGAACAAAACAAAAATACAATTAATAAGTCAGAAATGCAAAGGGGACCATTTCCAGGGCAAAGTCCTACAATTGAGTCCAGAACGCGCGAAATTCGGTGTTTCAGGTGAATCTCCCCTTCAGCGATTGCTGATCTTGCTAATGGGGTCGCGGCAGAATGGACAACGATTTCAAGTATATTAAGCATTCAGATTTTCGATTTTGTCGGGTTTTCAGCCCTGAAAATTCTATGGGAAGTTTATGTTCGATAATTTCGAAATATCAAATTGAAAAAGTGCTTCTAGAAATTCAGGATTTTTTTGGAAAATCCGTTTCAAGAATCAAGCATTTTCCAAGAACCGTGGGAATTTCGTGTTGCAGCAAAAAAATGAGTCCATTAATTGCCAATCTTCCCAATTCGCCATGGCCAGGTTTACGATTTATTTGTGTCCAAACATAAGGTTTCTAATCCCCGGTTGATCCGGTCCCTTTAAAATCCCAAAAAAGTGGCCCAATGTGGCAATGAATCGGATCGGCTTCACAGATATTGCCTGAAAAAGGCCGGCTTCTGGTTTTTGGCGGGTCCGTCAGGTGGGAGAGAGAGAGAGAGAGAGAGAGAGAGAGAGAGAGAGAGAGGGGAGAGTGATTGCTTGATTGCTGCGCCAAGTGTGTCTCAATCAACCAAACAATCCCGCCATCATCATCACCTCACATATCTGCACACTAAGGGCATGTAGAGAGAGGGACAGAGAGAGAGAGAGAGAGAGAGAGAGAGAGAGAGAGAGGAGGGCGATAGAGGGAGAGTGTTTGAGAGAGAGGGAGATAGAGGGCATGTGTGTAGAGAGAGACAGAGAGTTAGAGTGTGAGAGAGAGATAGAGAGTGAGAGAGGGAGAGAGACAGATAGAAAGTACCTTCCTTTTTCCTAGAAAACCCAGGAAATTGGAAAAATACGGTAGAAAAAATTTTAATTATGTGGTCATCTCACGGGCAGGTCAATTTAATCGCGTAATCGATTAAAAGGGAGAAATTGGAAGTTTCGAAGTTCAAAATGAATGTTTCCTATGAAGACCTAGCAAGTATCATAAGAAAATCGCCAATGATTTGAGTCGATGTGGAATGTTCATTTTACTATTACGATCGAATCTAATGTTGTGAATGGGTTCAGCAAGCATCAGAATGAGCTCCTCTCACGGCCTAGCCAACTACATCACGCTCCATATAGAAGGTCAGCTAATTTAAGTAAAAGTAGCCAAGAAAACACAGCAAAAACGAGAAAAAGGAGTTTAAAAAGCGTGAGAATCTACCCTTCACGTGGCTAGATCTAGACAGCTACAATACACGCCAAATAACGCTTGTGAGATAATTTGTGCTTGTGCTTTAAAAGGCCAACGAAAATACAGAAAAATGGATATTAGCCAGAAATGCGTCATTTGGGGTTGTCGGGATCTAGTCGATTGGAGGGGTCGATTCGCAAGCATTTCTTTCAAGAATGTCACTTCCTTTCAATTACGAGAGACAATTATCAATTCGAATGCGCACTTTACTCTATTTTCGACGTAACATCTTATTTGACAACAGTTCTGCGTGAAAAGCGGCAGTTTGCTGCCACCGGCAGGTTAATTCCTATCCTATAAGCGAGAAAAGTATGTGTGTTTTCTGTGCAGACGATTTCTCGGCCGTCAGGCCGAATTCCCGGCTGATTTTTGGCATGGAGGAGGAGAAACACATCTTCTTTATAAGCATTTTTTTGTTTTTCGAAATTCCTTCATTTAACGATTTTACAAGCAAAATAGTGAAAAACCCTTAACATTTTGGTCGAAAAAAGGTTTGTACAGAGGATATCTCGCGATCCAAATGGAATTCAGCTTTAATTTTTGGAGGGCGGATTGGGAATAGAATTCTCCCGATATATAATTTTGCGTTTTGCCAGATTTTGTAAAATGAAGTTTTTATGAGCATTTTTCTAAAAAGTCCTTAATAAAGTGGGCCAAGAGCCGTGGTGTCCGGGCCATATCTCAGAGCCCAGATGGAATTTTGGTCTGTAATTTGGACCACTTATGTACTCGATAGTGGGGATCACGCGCATCTTATTATCTTTGCAAATTTTCAGCTGATTCAGGCTCATAAATGGAATTTTGTAAGGTGACCAGTAGGCCTCCCTCCGGGGATCATTGGGTTGCCCTTTTCTTTGCCTTCCCTGCCCCTTTCCCCAGGACAGAAGAGGGCTTTCCCGCCGCCTCTTCCCATCTGGCCCATGGTGTAGTGGATTTGCGCCCGGTCTACGACGCGATGGTCGTGAGTTCGGTTCATGGGAGAATTGAATTTTTTGCTTTTTGGTAGTTCTGCAACAAAATATATTTCTAGGCTCTCGGTATACGAGGTTTAGGCCTGACCCTCGCTCTATCGCCGCAGGCCCAGGTCCTTGGTCCAGGCTCTCGCGCCGCAGGCCAACGATGGGTCCTTGATCTAGGCTCTTGCGCCGCAGGCCAAATCTTGGGGAAAAACCAGTAGCTAGCGCCGCAGGCCAAAAGGTTCTAGCGCGAAGTTTAGGCCTGGCTCTCGCTCTAGCGCCGCAGGCCAAAGAAAACGTACTTGGCCCAGGCTCTGGCGCCGCAGACCAGAGAATGGCTCCTTAACTCAAGTTCTTGCGCCTCAGGCAAAAAAAGAAGGTATTGGAATTCATCGTTCCTGGACGGGGTCCAGTGGAAAAGGGCCGCGAAGCGGGCTTTTTCCACTGGTTAAACTATATTTTCTAAACGATTCAAATTATTAACTGATTTATTTGCTTTTTTATTCAATGAAAAAGTGAAAATTTGGATTATGGGGGAAGCTCGGAAGTTCTGGAGGCCTAGGCAGCTATGCAACGCTACAAATGACACGTTGAACGAACACGAAGAAAATATTTAAAAAGGAAAAATCTAAATAACTGCGAAGCGTCATTCGGAGTGGCGTGTAGCTGTCGAGACCTAGTAGAATAGGAGGTCGAAATAGGGAAATCTGCTCCGAATTATAGACCCTGATGCGCTCTTTTGCCTATTTTTCTCCGAAACATTATATTTTCCCGAAAAATTCGAAAAATTCGTGAAGGCGTTACACAAGGGATTTTCGCCGTACTGCTAGTAAAATGGATAATTCTACCGTAATCCGGACAAAAGGTTCTTTTAAAGTCCTTCTCAAGGCAAAATTCGCACTAGACGATAGCCTGGAAAATTCTTTTTTGCTCTTTTTTTTGCGCTGATTCAGCTCGGCTTGCCTATAAATTGGAGCGTTGTGTCGTCGCCTAGGTGGGTAGATTTTTCGGCTTTGAAACCATATAAAAAGATTAAATACGAGCAAGGAATTAACTATCAACTTTTTGCTTTAAAGGCGTTTTCTTTCTTAAAAAATTTAAAGTGAAAAAATCAATGTTTCCAAAAACGGCCCAACGCAATAAAAAACAGACTGATCAATCGCGTTTAGCCGTAGTTCCATACCTCCCGCACCCCCTTCCACGGTGGGTGTCACAAAAATAGGTGAATCTACCGTAATAGCGTCGAAATTTTTTAAAGGACTCCTGAAGGAAAGATTCGACGTGGATTCGACGCTCGAAAAATGTTTTGAAAGTTGAAAACCGGTGTTTCCGTTAAAAACCAAGTCTGGATAAAATGAACCCGACAATAGAAGGTCTGAATTGTGGAGGTTCTAATTTAATCTTTTTAAAGGGATGCCGACGGCATAGTCAATCGGTTACGCGCGGAAAAGAAAATGTCTCTGCGCCTCTCCCCTG